CCATTATGTCGCTTGTAGTATTAGTTTGTGTGTATTTCGTTGGTTTTCTACGGTGGAGGAGGTGTTACGAGACAGTTTTTAGACAGGGTGGTAGAGATTTTATGTTTGCTGGACGAGGAACCTGGTCGGATTGGTCTTTTGCTCGGCTTCGGCTACACTTAGTGCTGGTTGGCTTCATACTAGAGGGGCTACGGACTTGAACCAGGGTGGGCACTGGGTTGTTTGATGGTCCTGTAATTAGTTCTCGTGTGGGCATGGCTCGGAGATGGTAGGTGCGGGGCCGTAGACTTAGTTAGCTTAAGATTAGTGGTATACCGATTAGCGGTATCCCTGTACCGGTGGGGGCTCGTCATATACCTGTGTTGGCTGTACAAGTTTAAAGAAAATTAGATTGAATTCTAAGTACTTTTCCTACTTATTACTTTAATCAATATAAAACACCTTTACGATCTTTATCTCTACTACAAACATTATCGTTACACCAAGGAAAGCTCTTCACGAAGAAGAGTTAGAGAAAACTTACGATAGGCATTCCTGAAAGAAGACAAAGGTCTTGTACTATTGGTATTGTAGGTAGAGGCCTAGTGCTATCGTAAGACTAAGGAAAGAAGAAGAATGAGAAGAGAAGTATCGTTCCCCGTCGCCAAGAACTAACCATCCAAAGAGGGATCGTTACACCTATCCTCCTCAGCCGTATTGGCCTCCTCATATAGTGTTCTTCCCACCCGTCGTCATGTAATCCAAAGTGGTCACATGGGCCAAACCAAATTGTAACAAACTAATCATGTTACCAAAGTGGTCATATGCTTAAAACCCATGACCTCATAGCCAGGTCATATTCGAAAACTCATAAACCAATCGTAACGCACTCAACAAGTCATATGACTAGAATGAGTCATATGCGCGAAACCCATGACCTCATAATGAGGTCATGTACTAAACCTAAATCATATGCGCAAGACATACCCACAAGGCACACTTGCAAGGCACACTCGCCTGGCATGCTTCCCATGACTCATATTTGAGCCATGTGCAAAACATAACAAATCTCAACATAGCCAATCATATGCCTTGAATGAGTCATATGTGTAAAACGATAACATACTCCTTACTCATAATCATGAGTCATGTGAAAACCTTTTCCATGCCAAGTCACGTTCGTAACTGTTAGCCTCATACCTGCTGAATGTACTGGTATTGTCCAACCTCTGTACTTTTCTGTAAACTATCTATTTCAGGACACCTTAAAGTTAAAAAAAAAAAAAAACAAGCCCCTCTCCTTTCATATTGAAAGTGTACATACCTATTTTTCTTTTTTTTAAAACTTATTCTAATCCCATACATTGGAGACATTCGAAATACAATTAGCAGAAATTGAAGAGAATGAGTGAAAGATACTTGCTAGAAGAGGTTTACTTCAAGGGAACATAGTTGGGCAGAGGGTTGCAGCAACCCAGGCCATGCAGGAAGCATGGGGGAGGTTTTCTTTAGCAAAGGCAGAGGTTGTTCGGAAGTCCTTTTATGTACTTGGTATCTTGCTCCCAATTGATGGGTGTAAGAACCATGAAATATCTGTTCAAGGCTTAGCTGTGGACTTTCTAAAGGAAGGGTTGATAGATTGGGGAGCAGAAGTTGAGGGTAACTCTGAGGTTGTGGAGGATTGAGAACTGGAGGGGGTTGATGATGATGAAATCAATTTTTCCTATAATTAGATTAGTGCCAAGAAATACCGAACTGATATTGCGCAATTTGATTCACAATGATCGGCTGGACTCACCCTATTTCAACGCCTTAGCGCCAGGTTCAATTATTTGTGATTCTACGGCATGCGAGCACCCGCAGTGAGCACGTCTAGGACTTCGAGCAATACGGAGATCTAGCACTTAAGTTTTGTATATTTTACAAGCGAGGAGAGTTGGGCTAGCACGCGGTCAGGGGTGAATTGGGTGGCCACGATACCAAATTGCGTAGCCATTAAGTTATCCAATTCCATACTTTTTATCCCTCCTGGCCGAACACCAGTTCTGGTAGAATATATCGTATAACGCTTGGGTGCTGGACCTCCGTGCGATTCCGGACAACACAGTTCTGACGTATGATAACAAGGGGGCGGGGAGGTTCGCTAACTGTGGACCGGTCCGCTTTACTACCATAAATACTACGATACTCGAAGAGTGTGCCATGTTGTTGGAGTTGCCTCCTCTGGTAAGGTCTGGTCTTTTGGTTATGGTTTTTTTTGGGGGGTTTTTTTGAATGTCTCTCATAGGGGCTGAGCAGCACTTTCTTTGGAATGTTTTTTTCGCGCCCTTTCCATAGCACCGGGATGGAATTCTGGGCGGCCGGTACATAGCACATTCTGCGATCACTACAACTTTTGCGGTATCAAGTTGGGCGTTGGCGTTTTTGGAACTACTGTCTCCGTCAAACTTTACTATACTCGAGTAAGTAAACTGCCTGTGTGTGAAACCAGGGGGATTCGGCGCTATGTCTGGTTTTTTATCGTGGGATCCTGGGACTTATTATATCGTACCTGTGGATCTAAGTAGTAACCGACAGTTCCGGCAATCAATTGGTTTCGAAAGAGGCTATTTTGGGGCATACACTTCCAAAAAGATACCATAAAGTTACTCGAGTAAGACGGGAATTATCGCAAGTTTAGCAAAGTGCCGGTATCCCTTCAGACTACGACTGCGAGTTCGGTGTCACTGGAGTATCAGTATTTGGGGTTATCTTGGCGAGCGGCACTGTGAGGGTCCCCAGCGCAGTTGTTTTCCGCATGCCTCGGTCTCAAGTCTTTGCTCAAGCGCCATAGTCTTGCTTAATGATTTTGCCCTCCCTGCTCTCTTCAGAGGATTGAAGATAATACTTGTGCCTGTGCGGGTTTAGTCATCACTCTGTACCACCTGCAACACTGGCAGCCGGTGTTTGTTTTGATTTTCTGCACGGATTGTTTGTTTTGATTTTAAAAAAGACAATTCTCATCTCTCGAACTGTGTGATATGCATGCCCCATCACCTGCATAGCAATACACTGCTTGTAGGCCGTGACAATTGCTGCACTCTGCGCCTGCTGGCACTTCCATTATTTTTTCTCTAACGAGGGCCAATCGCCCTGCCTCCTGAACCTCCTATTCCTGTCCGCTTCCTATTCTGATCGAAAACAACACCAGGAAGTCTTCAGGCTTCGTCCACCCTTTTCCTGTCTTAGGGCCCTGAGCGACGGCCAAAGGGGGGCAAATAGGCAAGCTGTGATCGATGGCCCGGGAGTAACGGAACCTGGGAAGTCTGAAAAACAAGAGACACCTCCTTTCAGTGAAAAAAAAAACGAAAAACAAAACAAAACAAAACAAAGAGCTTGTCTACCGGAGTTCCTTTGTCGATCCGGATTTCTTTTATTCGTTTGTTCGCGCTAGTTGAGACGAGGGGTGCTGCAGCTGTCATCCTTTTGTGCCTAATCCACAAGACAACGACGACAGAACGAGCACAAGGAATCCCCCACAGCTTCTTCGAGCAAGCCGAGTTGAAGGGAAAGGAAGTCTCGTCGAGCACAACATAGCGAGGCTTCATCCACTCCCCCCTTTCCCTCACGGCAAGCGCGTGTGATACAGTGCCATTGCTGTACCAGTACAGTACCGGAACTAGTGGCGGGGACTCCATTGTTTTTTCTCTTCCTTTCCCTCCCTCCTCATCATCCCCTCGTTCCTGCATCCTACGTGCCCCTCTTGTCACAAGCGGAATCCTTACTTCATAGGCATTCCCCACTGCAAACCCCGCTCCACTGTGAGGGAGAGTGAGAGGAAGGGTGAGAGGAAGGGTGAGGTAGTGTGAGAACCTGTTTCTACTTCGGTTCACCCCTTACTACTCCTGCCACGGTGCTCATCGCTCTTGCTATTCCTCATCCTCATAGTACATACACTGCGTCCTCCTCCATCCTCTATACCCCTCAGCTGTCACTATTTTCGTGACTCTGATTATCTCCTTGCCCTTCTATTTCTCTACACTCACTTTTGTTGTTGCTCGGTAGAAGGTTTGTCCTTTTGCCCCGATCGATACATCCCAACCATTTGAAACCGACCAAATTCATTGCACCAGGACCCAAAATCCTCACCCGAGACTCAAGCCCTTTGATAGGCAGGCAAGGTAGCGTGGAACGCATCATATTACAATCCTTTGATTTCGATTCTTTCTACCTATTTGTTGATCCGATTCTTCGAAACCTTTTTTTTTTTTACGAGTTATTCTGGGCGTTACGGTATCGCTCTGGGTTCTCTTTTGACGACATCTTTTTTTTACCACGATTCTTCAACGATAACGGCCTCGATACTACAAATACATAGAAGAACGACTCGTGCCTGCTCTTTGGGTAATCGACCAGCAGCAAATACCGGTGTATATATATCCCGGGCAACCTTCAATAATTTCTCGATAGACTAAGAAAGCAAGCGCTCTGGAGAGATTCTCATCTCATAAATCTTGTTGGTATTAATAATTCTCTTTTTTTCGGTTTCTCTGTTAAATTCTTGATTCATTCATTTTCTTTTTTTTCTTACTCTTCTTGCCCTAAGGAGCACTTTTCTGGTGGTTGAGTCTCTCCGGGACCATTATTTTTTCGCTTTGCGAGTTTTCACGTTGTTGGGTGTATATCAATTTGGGTGAGTCAGCCATCATCCCCAGACTTCTTCCGCGTTCGTTTGTTGTGGTGTCGTTGCTTGTCTATCTGTGGACGGCAACACACCCTAAATTGTAGTCGCCGCACTCGCCCTGAGTAATGCTAACGCGTCAACCCCCGACAACAGCACGCCTGCCACCCACCTACTTCTCAAATATTATCGGGCATATCACTCATAACCCGTACCGGCACCCTCTAATCTTGTTTCCTCATCGACCCTTCTTTCCTCGACAAAAACAAAACTTTGCATACTATCTGCAGAGCCAGCCCTAGCTCTCAAAACCCAACAGTCACCTTTGCGACCAACTGGAAAGTGTCGCTTCTGACCTACTATGGTCGCGTCTTATTCACCTCATCGCCATCACGGCGAGACTGCCACCTTGTTTTCTGCACCACACACAACGTCACCCTCGCGGCATCACATGCTTCGCTCACCAACTTCTTGCTCATCACCTTTTGCGATCCCAATTCCATCCTCTGTTAAAACACGATCGAGTACAAGACGGCTAACGCCACTAAAATCAAGAGGATCATCGACGACACCCGTCAGCCCAGTAAAGTTTCCACTTTCGCTTACGACCACGAGCCACATGAATTCGAGTGGCATGACCCTGCGGTCCGGCTCCTCGAGCCCGCGAGCGAGTCCTCGCGAAAAAATCGCTCTACAGCGTCAGGCGCGCGCCGGATTGGGTATGGAAAACGGGACTCAGAGCCCACCGTCCACAGGAAGTCCACTCAAAAGAAGCGATGGTATAATGAATCTGGATCAGGCAAGCCGTGGGTCACCTGTCGCGAAGCGACGGTCTCACTTTGGTTTGTATAGTTCGGGACACAAACAACAGCATACCTTTGGATCGCCTTCATTTGGCCAATCGCCGACGCCTGCCCACCACAATACGACCCCAAAGAGACATAACAGCATAAAAAAGTCGGCTGGTCATGGATTCAGTGTTGAGAAGCCTTCCTTTGCGCGATCTCGACCACAGGCTCGCCAACATGATTTTATCACCCCTTCTGACCCAGCATCCAAGATTCGTCGTGTAACTTCGGTGGATAACTTTCATAGCCTACGACGCGGATCTTTAAGTAGCGGCTCATCGTTACCCAGTGCCTCTATTCACCTACATCATGGAGCCAATACTGCATCGCAACCAGCAAGCCATCAACCCCACCCTTTGTCGCAGAATACTTTCGGCTCACAATCCCCTGGGCCAGAGTCAGGAAAGGATAGTGGCGAGGGCTCTAATGAATGGCGGACACCTCAGAACTTTCGATTCGCAAAGCCTAACCCTGCAGCCTTTCACTCTACAGGATTTGTCCCGAAACGTGGCCGCCTTATGCATGCAGATAAGGATCACGGCCCTCAACCGGACACACCTTGTAAGAGACCAAACAATACATTTGGGTCTTCTGCCTTCCAGAGTGGGATGGGGGGGAGTAGAATCTCTATGACTGATTTCGCAAATACGGCGACACCATTCGGCAATAGCGGTGGAGGTGTGAAACTTGGGTTTGGTACACTCGACAGAAAAACCAGCACACTGAGTACCGACGATGAGTTGGATCTTGGCCAATCTCAATCAAGTGCCGATTATGACTTGCCCCCTACTCCAACTAAGAAGGTCTACAGTAATATTGGGGGCATATTCAATTCTGCTAAACGAGCAAGAACGGAACAGAGCTGTGAGTTGTCTATATTCTTTGGCGCCCATTCGTTCTTACTGATATGTGTGAATACAGCGGACGACTTGAGAGTTAGGTACAGTGAAAAGTTTGAACCGCAAACCCCAAAAGATAATATCCAACCACCGGACCCAAGCAGTCTTTCCATTTCTGGCCGGGTGAGCCATACCCACCACCGGATGAGCTTGCCAGCAACCCCTGCCAGAGATTTCTTTTCTCCTCATTTCGACTTCGCTAGTGCCGGTAAGCCGCGCCCGCCTCGAACGGTGCAGTCACTTGATGGGCGGTCGGTGGAAGTTACCGACAGCTTCTTATCAAGATTTTCGGAGATCAAGCACATAGGATCTGGGGAATTTTCGGAAGTCTATCAGGTTACGGAAGGCCGTCCACGTAGAAATGCTTTCATTGCGTCACTAAATCCATCTACCCCTCATCAACTCGCTACACCAAAGCATTCTTCACCGTTTGGAAGCTCGCCGGTTGGGAATAGCGAGTCGTTACTGAAAGCGTACGCTGTGAAGAAGTCAAAATCTAGATATTTTGGTGTCCGGGAGAAGGATCGCCGGCAGGAGGAGGTTCAAATTCTCAAGTTGCTTGGGCGAAGTGAGCACGTCCTCGAGTTTGTGGACAGCTGGGATGAGGATGGATACCTTTACATCCAGACAGAGTTCTGCGACAATGGAAGCTTAGACAAGTTTCTAGAGCAGCATGGAAATAAGGGTAGACTAGATGAGTTCCGTGTATGGAAGGTTCTGCTCGAATTGTGCTTGGTAAGCCTCGTCCTCTCCCTGCCGCTTTATTTCCTCCGAAGTTAATTGTGACGCATTTAGGGACTTCAACACATCCATGACTCGGGCTTTATTCATTTAGATCTTAAGCCCGCAAATGTCCTGATTACCTTTGATGGAGCGCTAAAGATTAGTGACTTTGGGATGGCAACGCGATGGCCAGCCTCACGGGAATTAGAGCGTGAAGGTGACCGAGAGTACATCGCCCCCGAAGTCTTAGAGTCACACAGATATGATAAACCCGTGGATATCTTTGCCCTTGGGCTGACAATGATTGAAGCTGCTGGCAACGAGGCGCTTCCTCCTAATGGGCCTGCATGGCAAAGTCTGCGCAGCGGTGATCTCAGTGTGGCCCCTATTCTCAGTACTAGTTCTTCTGGCGAGTTAGTCGTCCGTGATGAGGATGGCAATCCCATATCCACAGTTGTACTCGGTAGTCTATCATCGTCTAGTCTGGACAGTCGGATGTCGGACTCATCGCAACCATATCATATCAGCCGACGTGCTTTACGTACTAGAACGGACCCCGCGTTGCTCCATAAGCCCCGGGCTGGTGATCTGGTGAACCCCCCGGATTTCATGTTGGAGGCTGGGTTAGAGGAGCTAGTTACCTGGATGATATCTGCAGACCCGGGCCATCGACCCACTGTTTCACAGCTGTTGGAAACAGATTCAGTAAGGTGGGTCGAATCGAGAAGAAGGTCTCCGGCAACGATCTTCGAGGGGCTTTGGGGGCCAGATGATTCCTCGGCTCGTGTCGCTGAGGAGGATGATATGATGGTGTGGGAGAAACCCGAAGACTGTTCGCCTTGGGGCTGAAGATCTGGGGGGGCGCAGACAATGTGCAACTGGAGAGTACAGGGAGAGTGAGAAGTGGATAGGAGGGTGGAGTCACACTTTTACGCCTGTTCTGAATAGCTCCTCTTTTAGTCTCTTTCGGGCAATGGGTCAATGGTCTGAGATTTGTGGTATATCAGGATTCTTTTGGTATAGCAAATGGTTCCTTGTGGGATGATTTTGTCAGAAAAAAGCACTGGATTTGGTAATTCTTGTTCTTTTAGCGCCCACTTTCTCCACGTTTTTTTTCGCACTGATGGGCGCAAATATTCTCGCTTTGTTACATGTTTCATTCTTGTTGGTTAGGGGCATGTTTTCTTATAGCTTTCTCTGGTTTCTTGCTGCTTTTTACATACTGGTACTGGTGCATTTGCTAGGATATTCCCTTCGTCTACTGTCTTTTCATTCTTTCTCTTTTTCTTTTGTTTTCTGGGGTTGGTCGGTTTGAGCTATTTTTTCGCTTCGCTTTTCTTCTACATTCAGCATTCATCATTTTGCTGTAGGTTTTTTCACTATTACCACTTTTTTTCTTCCAACTGGGTTGTTTTTACTTTTTTTATTCATCACTCCTCTTTGTTTTACATTTTTCTCCTCACCCACCGCCTTTGTCATTTTTGCTTTCGTGCGGGGCATGGCTAGGTGGCTAATAGCTTCCGTCTGTATATAATTAGCGTATTGGAGTGTAGAGAGATGCGGGTTTCTCTTTTGGACCCTCATCTACCTGAACCAGCAGTTTTTCTGGGCATTTGTTTGGTTTTCGTGTTTCTCTTATTTTTTTCGTGATTGATGTAATACTTTCCGCGGCATTCTATGGAGCTTTTGGTGAGGTTTGCACTTGGTTTGTTACCTTTTGTTTCGTTCCCTGGACTTAAAAGTTGGCTTTTGCTGAGCTGCGGGGGGGATAAGTGAGGGGATGTGACATTACTGTATGACTTGTTATGAATTTGCACGCTCGGAGGAGGGGAGGAAGGAGGTTGGAGAGATGTGGGGTTATGAAGGTTGCTTGAAGTGCTTGCCAAATTGTAGATAGAGAAAAGGAGAAGGGAGGTGAAATTGATCATGATAGAGATGATGCTGAGGTTAACGGGAAATTTGAAGGTGAAGTCCATTTCGCTGTCATGGTGTGGAGGGATGGGGTAGGATGCCGCAATCAAAATTCCCAGAGCCACGGATCCGAGTGACAACTCCTGAGTGCGGCTCGGCTCATAAATTCGAACCACCAATCAAACTCTGGACAACTCCGCCACCCCACCACCCCACTATCTACGTTGTGAGGAAGACCGGAAACATGGCTGCGACAACAATCCCACGTCGAATAGCATCACCCCCACTATTCTTCTCTCCCCCGACCGCATATACACATCTCCTAAAATCGTCGTGCGCCTCAAGTATCCGTTATGATTCCTCCTCCTCGAATCAGTGGAAACGCCGACAAATCCGTGACGTCTTTGCGACAGCCGCAAAGCGTGACGATATGAAGTCCCGCGCTGGCTACAAACTCATCGAGCTGGACTATAAGCACGGGATCTTCGGGCCCGGGCAGACGGTTGTGGACCTGGGCTTTGCCCCAGGCGCGTGGAGCCAAGTTGCGATCGACAAGGTCACACCGGAGGGACGAGTGATAGGCGTGGATATACTACCGGCTAACCCACCTCCCGGGGTATCCACGTTCCAGGGCTCGATGAAGAGTCCGGGTGTGCGCGAGCTGCTGAAAAAGTTCCTCATGGACCCGAGCCGCGGCAAGATGCGGGAGAATCGGTATCTGCGGAAGGGCGATGTGGACGAGGAGGAGCTGGAAGAGATGGAGAGGGGCTACCTGGATCGCGAGAGGGACGCTGAGCGTGAGGAGAAGTTTGAGGGGGTCGGCGAGGATGATACGAGGGGGCCGGTTGACGTTGTGCTTTCTGACATGTCGGATCCCTGGCCAATTTCTGCGCTTACCTATAGGAAGACCTTCGATAACGTTTTTATTAGGTTGATGAACACGAGTGGGATTCCGGTTAGGGATCATGCATATAGTATTGTGTGTTTACCATCCTCTCGGCATCTGGCTGGATGAAAGGGTTGCTGATAAAGGGTAGGATTTGTGTTATACCGCAATGTCATTCGCCATGGATGTGCTCAAGACCTCTGGGGTCTTTGTCTGCAAAGTTTATAGCGGGGATCAGGAGTGCGAGTTGAAGGCGAAATTAAAGCTGATGTTTTCCACGGTTTACTGCGACAAGCCAGAAGCTTCTAGGACTGTGAGTCCCTTTCCTAGTTGGTTTGGTGTGTTCGGCTGACGGTTTGGGTTCCTAGGAATCGAGGGAAGTCTACTACGTTTCTAAATTGCTGAGGAAGGGTGTTACGAAGGAGAAGGTTTTTCCTGGAGGGGATTATTAGAGGAATATGGTAGGTCAGCGGTGGTATATCGGTAGGGGAATTATGGCAGTGGATGTAGTATAATCTCGTTGGTGGGGCGGGGCTTGAAATCGGGAAGGCTTGAATACCTTTTTGCAATTTCCCCGCTTAAGTTATGGAATAGGAATGGGCCTGGGTCGATGGCTGAATTTGGGCTGGTGTATAGTTTGTTAGATGGTTGGCTATGCGGTGTTGTATGAATTACTGGTAGCTCAGATGCAATGGTGTGATGCGCCGTGATGGAGGTGCTAAATTTAATTTAGCTGGATTGTGCGGGCTGACGTTGGGCTGGAACTTTAAACTGGAGGAGTTGGTAATATCATCTGATTCTGTGATAAGAATTGGCCATAGTCCGCCATCTCAATCCATCACTCATTTTCACCGGGTAGTATACTGTAGCAGCAAGCCCACAGCTGGTTTTTTCGAAGCGGCAACGCACTTCTGCAAGGCAAGTCCCGGCGTCAAACACCTACTAACAACAGAGCCGCCCGCCCCCTCTTCTTACTCTTCCCCACTGCTGTGCTCCACATCCGAATATCTCTCCATTCAGCACACTGCGCTCCAATCCTGCGCATTATGCGCCTGTACACGCTCCGCCTAGTCCGCCGAGGATCCCGATTACACCTCCGATGTTTCCACTACAAAACTCCCTTCATCCCTTCGTACCCGCCAAGGAAAACCCACCAAATGCCCCCACTACCCCCGAAATCCCTGCATCAGCACGTGGCCCACCTATGGAATTGGCGTCGCGGTACCCACCCACGGACACGGAGGTCGATCCATCGGGACGTCATCACTATCGGACAGCTATCGCGCTACCTGAACGACCAGATCGGACGACCGCCAGAAAATGAGGAACTGGTGGAGGCCTTCTGCGGGATTGTGGAGGCGCACGAGGGATCTATTATTGTTGACGATTATGCATATGGGCTCCTGAAGGTGTACGAGCATGTGGGTAGTCTTCCGGTCGAGTCGATGCGCAACGCACTGTCAGTGGTGTACAGAGGGGCTACAGAGAACCAAGTTCTCCTGGCTCGGGCAATGTTCTCTGGACTGAGGGGTTCGCCTGAAAAGGGGACGCTGGTTGATGGGGATGTTGTCATGATTGTGCACATGCTTTCCCGGACGGGAAATTCCGCTGAGGCGCTAGAGGTTGCGGAGGACTTTTCTGCGAAGCTTACAAGTTTGGAAAGCGAGAGGGTTGTTTGGGAGAAGGTTCTTGAAGGATTCTCGTCTGAGGGGAATGAGGAAGTTTTGCTGAGGACTTGGGAGAAGTTGGAGAAGTCGAAGATGGAGATGGATCCGAAATTGTGTGCACCGCTGGTCGCGCTGTACTGTGAGAAGGGGGAGCTCGATAGCGCGAAGATGTGGTATCAGAGGGTTGTGGAGTCGGGAACCGGGCCTACTGCTTCTGCGTATGTCGAAATAATCAAGGCTTGTTTGAGTACAAGGAATTATGCTTGGGGGAGTGAGATTGTGGATACGTTGCTGGGAGAGGGGGGGAAATTACATATGGGAAAGGAGGCGTGGGATGTGGTCCTTAGATGGTACCTGGCTCTCGGCGCAGATCCTGAAAAGATGGACGAATTATTGGATATGATGGCGCAGAGAGCGGAAGAGGTAGAAGTATTGCCTTCTCCTGAAATGGCTACAATAAACGGCCTTCTCCGCTCGGGGATGGTGGTGGTAGGACCAAGCTTCCCATTCGAAGACTTCCTGTTAATAGCAGACAGACGGGGATTCAATTACGATAGAACGTCCTTCGAGCTTAAGCTGGAGCACAAAATTAATCAAGGCAACACCGAGGAAGCCCTGGCCACCTACGAAGACCTCAAAACTGAATCAATCCCACGGAGATACCACGCAACAGAAGTCAAGCACCTCCTCCGCCACCTCTGCGCCCAGCCTACCCTCGACAGGGAGGCCATCCAAACTATCTACGCCGACCTCCTGGACTGGGATGTCCGCCTCGACGTCGGAACTCTCTGCCCGCTCCTGCACATACTACTGGAAGGCTGCTCTTTCAAGGAGGTCATCAACCTCCTCACCCGCGAGAGCCCGAGCAACCACGAAAAGTCTCGAATCATCGCGCAAATGATAAGCCACATCTCGAGCTCAGGCACGAGCATTGAGGCAGCCTGGGACACCTACCAAATCCTCTACCAGGTCTTCCCCGAAACCACCGTCCACCAGCGAACAACCCTGATGTCGCTATTCTTCGACCTGGGCCGAAGTGACATGGGTGTAATGGTATTCCAGCATATGCGCCAGACGAGAAAACGCAAGCCATTGAAATACACTTACCGTGCCGCGCTCCTGGGCGTAGCGATTAACCGCGATCTGGAAGCGCTGCGCGTGATACACAACGCCTTGAAACTGGACTGCCAATTCGACCCGGACACCCGACTCCTCAATTCACTAATGACAGCATATGCCGCCTGCGGTATGCCCACGCGAACGATGGAGATATGGGAGGACATCCGCCGCTCGGTCCAAGGCCCAGATCACGAGAGCGTTGCCATAGCCCTGGATGCATGCTCGCGCATCCCGAAAGGGATTCGGCAGGCACAGGTGTTGTGGGGCCAGTTGCGCGCGGCGGGGTACCAATTCACCGCGGGGGATTACGCAGCGTATGTCGAAGCGCTGGGCCGGAACGGGAAGTGGGATGAGGGGTGGAGGATTGCGAAGGAAATGAAGGGGGAGGGTGTGGAGCCTGATGTTCGATTGTAAATTTTTTATTCTCCCCCTGCAGCTTCGTGTTTTTTTGTCTGATGGTAGTACTGACAGAAGGATGGAAGATTGGGCGCCCTGTACACCACCATGATCAGGAAGCGGAAGGACGAAGTCGCTGCATGGGCTCAGAATTGGTATCCGGACACCTGGGCCCGCGTGGAAGTACGGTTGAAGGCCCTGCCGGGGAAGCAGGTTGATGTTGTATATAGGGATTTTGAAGAGGCGGTTAGGGAGGCGGAGGAGAGGCGACGGCAGTTAGAGGCTAATTTAGCGAATTTGCCGACCGGGGGGAGGGAGGGGGGTGAAGGCAAAGAGGTAGAAGGGGCGGAAGAGGGGGTGTGATGGATTGTATCTATATATGCTCGGATGGTGGATTGGTAAATAGTGCAGTAGGTTTGCATCATGGGGTATCATTCGGTCATGATGTTCATAATATTATGAGGATTTATTTATAATACCGAATGTTTCTTTGCGGTTTTTACCTTCCACACAATGTCCTTGTTCGGACTAGCTGCTCTTCCTTCTGTTCTTGAGGGACCTTCCTTGACCCTTTAGCTGTCCGGGAGTGTCCGGATAAGTAATATTGATAAACAACTGCACTCCGACCATTTCCCTTCTGATGGTTAGCGATCGGTTGCATTGGGCTCTCCCTCTGTTATGTTTTTGCAGAACCGTCAAACTACCGTGCTTCGCTACGTGGGCACTTACTGAGTTATCTTGTGGGATACTACTACTGCGCGTTGGCAGTTACGTATTAGATTCCCCGGAAGGTCTATTATGACCCTTCAAGATTTGCCATTCCTTGAGGATTTTGTCCAGTTGAACGAAACTGTGATACCCACGGTGGCAGAGAGGACTAGGGTTTTGGAGATTAGAGGTTTGTCATATTATGGTGCTCTGCGGATCAATCCGGTTGTGGGCACGGGCTACGATGGTCCTGAGGAAATTTGGGAATTATGAGGCGTTCAATTGAGAAGTCGTACTTGGTTTTTTACTCCCTCCGCACGCGGGGTTGTTTATTGCGGGGAGGCGCTGGTTCTTATGCCTGTACGGTTGCAGAGCTAGTGTGATCGTCGGTTTCACGGAATAGGACATGACCGGACGCCGGCAGTTCATTTTTCCGAAAACCATTAGCTGCACGGCTACACTTCCTACCCTCTGTACATTTCTAGTTTTTTTTCCATTTTTTTTTTCATTTCAATATCCACCCATCTCAGCTCTTATGGACCGCAGCCCTAGATTTGGGAATATCGTCGTAAATGAGTCCCCGACCGGCCAAGCCTTTCCAAGCGCAATGGTCGGAGATCCGGAACCCCGCGAACCCAGCAGCGTCGCAGAAGCACTAGCAGTAAACGGAACCCCGCAAGGGCTGATCGCCGCGTCCCCGGGGCTGCCGAGTTGGGTGCTCCGGCTCCATGCATATCGAGTGAGTGCATCGTACTTCCCGGAGAACTTCCAGCGAAGTTCGCCCGACACCACGCGGTTCCAGTTCACGCTTGGGGGCCTCGAGGTTGTGTCACAGATGTAGGAGGTGTGCGCAGTGACATTCAGGAGCGTATCCTCGTCCGTAAATGTGATATCAGTTCGTGGGGAATTTTGGGGTCGGGTCGTGTCGCTGATGATTGCTGGGGCTGCGAGAGAGCTTCCGGGGAGTTCCGGGGCTCGGATTGGGGGGGGTTGGCCTTAAATCGGGTGGGTAAGGATGGGTGCTGCTAAGGTCAGGAGGGAACCTGGTAGGAAGGTGATTGTTGGGGTAAACCTTTTTTTTTTTTTGTTTTGGAATATTTTGGTGGAAGGGAGGGGCTGATTTTTATAACGCGGTGGAAGGGCTTGTGTTGGTGTGTGAGGGAAGAAGAGAAGGGGGAAAAGTGTATTCACTCAATTTGCAGAGGGGTGTGGTAATAATTTAGTGGGGTCACATATTATGGAATATCACGAATCTATCTAAAATTTAATAGTTCTCAGTTGGGTAGATTCACCGGGTATCACTCGGGAGCACCTAGTGTTCAAACGGCAAGTTTTCATAGAATACAATGCCATAAGGTGCAGCATCATAACTTGCCGTAAACTCACTAGGCTCCATTAGCTGGGCCGGTATAGAAAACACTTTAGATCTTAAAGGGGATGTAAGGGGGGGCGAGGGTTTACATATGACACAAAAGTGAGGAAGGAAAAGCCGAATTTAGATTTTGGGCACACATATGGTCCCCGGCATTTTAGATAAGAATGCTACTAAAGCCTGATAACTATGTCTTTGTCTGACAATTCTACAATATCTGGTCTGTTGACGATCTAGAGTCCTGTGTTTTGGGGGGGGCCTAATCCGCTAGCCTTTATGCGATGTGAACTCCAATGGCGAAAGACGCCACTTCGCGGCATCAAGTTTGATATTGCGAGATACCGTTCTCCTATACTATTCCCAGCAGTTGTAATTTGCGGTACCATATTAATTTACGACACGGCAGCCTGCAGCATTTTTTGGACACAAATGTCCCAGGACATGGTGGTAAGGCTTCCCCTGATTGGCTGGGATGAGTATATGGATTTGTGACGATTCGAGGTACTCGACTTGAGCATCCGACAGAATACCATGAGAGGCAAAAAGATGTGAAGGGGCAAAAGGAGACTGGGGAAATATTGAATTTCGGTTCCAACTTGCTCACAAATCGACATCGCATCAGCGCCGTGGGCCATTTGATTGCTGTTAGGGAGTTTGGATAGGGTACCATGCGAGCTCAGAGGGCCTTCTACCATAACAGGACGTCTGTGTCCGAAATGGTGCGCCAGAGGTTTGTTTGCGAGGAGAGTTTTCTGAGTTTGTGATATGGTGGTGGCTTGTGGGGTGGGAGTTAATTCTACGGTTGGGAGGCCTCTTACCGTATTGATTTCCATTGATGAGCGGGACTATAATGTTTGGGCAGCCTGCCAATCACCCACCTTCAAGCTCACATGATTTTCGTTGGGCCATGTCCATTGTAGAAACTGGTTGCTACCATTCAGTGTTTAATAGCTAGCTTTTGGGTCGCTTTGCATTTTGTCTTTTTTCTCTTTATATATGGTCGCCCACATGTCTGTTTCAGGCGGGGGGAAAGGGAAGAGCAAATGAGCAACAAGTACGCAAAGTGGACAGACAACCGGAAAACAACAATAAGAATAAATATGATGGGAATTTCGACCCTGACCGGTTTATGTCAATACGAGTCGCTGCCTGGTGTCAGAATTAGCATCGGAGTACTTGGGCCCATGCACAAGAGCGGTTGAGGGTGATCCCAGGGAAGCAGGCTGATGCTGTATATAGGGGTTGCGAGGACTAGGGAGGGTGGTGAAAGCAGGGAGAAAGGAGGGGAGGAGAAGCCATGTGTTGTATTTCTGTAGGCTCATGTGGTCGATTGGTGAAAACTTTGGTGGGTTTACATCATGAGGTATCATTCGGTGACGATGGTGTTGAGAGAAATACTTTTTTTTGAGTTTCTGGAACGTGGTTTACGATTCTGTGGGAATAGGCTGCGGCGGTCCTGAGGGGATCTGGTGCATGTGAGGCCATCCGTTAATAAATCATACCGTCCGTGGGTCACATATTTTCGCACTCTAGAGGGTTTGAATTACCTTGAGATGAGGAAAATTGTGGCGTTTCCTCCTACTCCCTCCGCACATGGAGTAGTCTAAAGCAGTGGGGCCCAGACAATCTGGATGTGACAGCCCCGTCGAGTCCATGGCTATCACAATTTAGTTTTTCGCGCCGATGCTTAGCATAAACCTGGCTCTTGCGCCCATCTCCAGGAGGGACAGAGGTTAGCTATGCGGGCATGCGATGAGTGAACCTCTCATCAGCTTCACGGAACAAGACATGATAGGACGCCAATAGTTTATTTTCCAAAACTATTATTTACACGACCACTCTCCATCCTCCCTCCGTACATTTCTAGTTTGTTGTTTTTTTAACCAATTTTCCAATATCTAGCCCTCTTAGCTCTTATGAATGGCAAAAATAGAGTTCCAGACATCCCCGTAAAGGAACCTCCCACCGGTCAACCCATTCCAAGCACAATGATCCGCGATCCAAAAGCCAGCATAACCGGCGGCATCGCATGGGTACCAGGCGGAGAAAGGCCCACAAAAGCTAATCGCTGCATCCCCGAGACTGTGGAGTTGTGTGCAGCGACTTCCATGTGGATTCTTCTGCATGCACACCCAGTTCCTCATCTTGCCGCGGAGTTCTCCAGATACCTCGCGGACCCAGTGCACGCTTGGGGATCCGGAAGTTGTGTCGCAGATGAAGTAGGATTGCGTGGTGACGTTTAGGTGCGTTTCCTCGTCCGTGTGGGTGATGTTCATGAGGAATTTGGGGGTGGGGTCGTTGATGATTGCTAGAGCTGCGAGAGCCTCGGGGGAGTTCCAGAGGTCTGCTTCGGATTGGCCTTCGACTGGGTGGGTAAGGACGGGAACTATGAAGGACAGGAGGGAAGCGAGGAGGAAGGCAATTTTTAGGGTAAACATTTTGTTTTGTTTGGTGATTTGGTGGTTTTGATTTTTGGTTTTGGAAGTGTTTGGAGGAAGTGAGGAGAGGTAGTTGTAGTGCTGTGGAAGAACTTGGGTCGGTGTGTGAAGGAAGAAAAGGAGAAGGAGGAGAGGTCCATCTCGCTCAATTTATAGAGGAGTGAGTGTGGCTTAGTTGGGCGACAGCTTGGGCTATAGGTCATAGAACGTGGGCTCTATACACTCTCACATTATCATACCAAATATGTGGTTGATTCACAGGGTATCACTCGATAATACCTGGGGCGTGAAGGGTAAATTTACACAGCGTGGGATATGATACGATAGGTGTAGTATCATACACGGCAACCCACCCGTAAACATACCAAATACCTATGGCCGGGCGATTATAAAAAAAACACCATATCTCAATAGAGACGTTAGAGGGGGAGGGTTTTGGCATGGTGTACAGAGGACGGAGTGAAGGGACAATTTGGGCCTTTAAATATGTCAGACTATCTTGGATCTGGTAGAGGTAGAGGAATCGCTCAGTCGTGATTGAGGTGACGAAGGACACGGACGTGGACACGGAGTGGAGTACCGAGGTGTAATGACAGTTGAAGAAATCGAGGATAGCTTAACACTCGGAGAGTGGAGATCTATCATACCTCTTTATATACAGAGTTGTGGGTAACCCTCATACCTCAGAACACTGATACCATACTCCACCCCACTCGCAATACAGCAACTCTCCACTGCTGGGATCACCATACCATCAGGATCTGAACTTGCTCCTCCCGGTAGCGCGCCCCTGCACACAGCCCTCCTCTTATAGTATTATATACCAAAGCGTTATCTTTAAGTCTTTTGTAAATTTTAAGCCACACAAACTTATCTGAATACAATAGAAATAGCCCCTCGTAATAGCCCCTCGTCAAAACCTAACCCTAGATTGTGAATGGAAACCGACAAAGCCTGGCTCGACCGCACGAGAAAATCTCGATAGAGATTTATACGGGTATGTTATAGACATGTGCATTCCAATCGCAGATGATTTCCTTCGACAAGAAGAAAATAATCAGGCTGAGTATCTGTTACTCCGGAAGAAAAGGGAAGAGGATAATTACTACAAGGCGACGTGTTAAACTACGGGAGGAGGTTTGTCAGGGTGAGAGGGGGATAATGGGGTCAACAGACATGTTTATGAAGTTGTTGTGCCCGCAGTAATGGCACGCGAATATTCCGTGCTCGGAGGCGGGACCTGTCCGACCTTAGCTCATGATGGGGGTGTATACTGAGGGCTGTAGCACTGCTACTAGCACAAGGACCGTTTATTCGAGTTCTTACGGTATAGTGGACTCTTCGTAGGAGTGCAGGAACCGGGTGTTTGTGGAGAAGTGGTATAATGGCTTGGGGATAGACTATGGACCGGTGTTAATGAACTCGAGCGGCCTGCTTCATTGTCGGTCTTTAAAGGCCCTGAGAGGATTGACGGAGAACATCCGGATATCCAGAATACGCCGTAGACAATGCCATAGGATGATACAGCAGTATGACTCTGGACACCTATTGACACCTTAGGCTAGTCACAAAAGTCTAGCGAACAAATGAAGGGACCGGGGGTTCTTCCACCGAGTGAGATCATTTGCCACCAGACACTCTGCCGTACGACATACAGGGCGACGACCGAACCCTTTAAAAGCTCCACAACTAACCAAAGCCTTCGTTGGACTCTTCTGTGATATATCATACAAAACTCAAAGGGCTGCCACAGCCACCACAGCTAAAACTAATACAGATAAACGCTTCCCATAACTAACCAGACAAATCTGCCCAAAGACGGACGGGCGGGAAAAATAATAACAAATCCGACCTAGACAAAACGCCGCAGTGCAATGCAAGAGGAAGGGGAAAAACCGCTACCGCTACTTCCTCCCACTAAACAACTTCTTCAACCCCTCGGGCCTTTTCTTCACAGGTGAGAACTCATTATTGAACGCTGATACGCTAGGCACTAACAAATCCGCGTCCCCCAGTACGCCGGCCAAACCTCCTCCAGGCTTCTTCCCCTTCTTCCCCCCCCCTGCCGCCGCTACCGTCGTCTGTGGGGCAGACAACTCCTGACTCTCGGCCAAAGGCGCAAGGGTAAGTCTTCCACTACCGTCGTCCTCGGTAAATAGGGTCTTTGCGGCGGCGGGTTTCCGCTTTCGTGGTTTCGGTTTCGGTTTTCCCGCTTCTTCTGCTGCTGTTGCTTCGGGAATGTCGGGTTCGGTGGTAGGGTTTTTAGCTTTACGTTTTCGGTTTGCGCCGGCAAGGAGGATTTTGGTTGGTTCTTTGGATTCGATCAGGGCTGGAATCATGGTCGATTCGCCAACTTCTGGGGCTTCTGGAGCGTCTGCCTCGTTGGTTGCGGCTGCTGTAGTTGCGGTAGCCATGGTTGAGATGGTGGTGGCGTTTGCAACAGAGGTATCCGCCGCGGCAGTCTGGCGCTTCAAGAATGGGGTTATGCTAAACTCTGATGTCTTTGGAGGAGTCTTGCGTGGTCGTTTGGCAGAGAGTTCAAGATCCTCCATAGTTAAGGTTGAAGCACGCTTTTTGGGGTTCTGGGTGGGGAGTTTGGCGGCTATTGATGCTGTCGCTGAAGATGTACTCGTCTTTGTCGTGGTAGCGGTAGGAGGAGGAAGGGCTGGTACAGAGGCGGAGCAAGCTTTTAAAGCAACGAGCTTGTTTCGAGTGCTTTCGAGCTTTGACTCGAGGACTTCATGCTTGGCTTCCCAGTCCTCTTTTGACTTGGCAAGATCTTTCTCGGCCTTTTCGCGGGCTTTTGTTTCCTTGCGGAGAGCGGCTTTGAGGTCTGTGACTTCCTGGGATTTATGCTTGCTGTCTTTTTCTCGCTCAACGGCGGCAGATTCACTTGCTTTCTTAAGAGATGCCTGTGTTTTCTCCAGTTCTGAGCGTAGGCTGATAACCTCTTGCTGGAGCGATTGATTTACCGCAGCGGTTGTTTGTTGCTTCTGCAAGTCTAGCCGGAGGGTGGAAATTTCCTGTTGAAGGGATTGGCGTTCCGCGGCGCTTTCCCGGTACTTATTTTCCCATTCTGTTGACTGCACTTTCAAAGCATCGGTGCTCTTCTTGTAGGCTTCAAGATCCTCCTTGCACCTCGATAGCTCGGCATCCACAGTAGACTTCTTTGAAGCAGCCTTCAAGAGCTCATCTTCCAACTGCAGGATGCGCGCCTGTAGCGTTTTCTTCGCACCAAGCGCTCCCTCCAGCGATGCTCGCAGAGCTGCAACCTCAGCTTCTTGCTGGTTTTTTTCGCCGACAAGATTCCGGCGGTACTTCTCCTAAATCGTGACGGATTGGTCAACCACAAACCGGTCACCAGTGAGTGGTCAAGTAAGAGAAACAAACCTGCAACTCTTTATTCTTGGCCTTATACCTAGCAACCGCATCCTCGTGCCATTGCAAAGATGCATACGCTTCCCTCAGTGCTGGTTCCACTCGTTCAAAATAGTCCTTGTCCTCGGAATATTCTTGATACAGCTTTTCATACCGAGATTCTAGGATTATCAATTGCGCGCGGGTTTTTCGTTGTTCTTCGTCTGCCTCAATGACGAGGGTTTCAGCGCACGCATCGCGGTAGGCAAGGAGAGCATTGGAGGTCGCGACCTTCCGTCGGGCCTGTGATAGGCAGTGGTCAGTTTAGCACCGGATGAGAAGAAACGGGGTGGGGCATAGACGTACATCCTCGAGTTCGAGAAGGGTGTCTGGGTCGGGCATTGTGATTGTTTTACAATATCATACGAGAGATAATAAGTAGGGGAGGGTAATGAGAGGGCTATGATCTCGATAGGGGTTGTATCATAGGTGTTGGGAGGGGGTAAGGTAAATATATGGCAGAGATAGGGCAAGAGGAATCAAGAGGTCTTTTGTCTTTGGTAGTGGTTGCAAGTTGGAGGGAAACGCGAGGAGAGGCTCGGTGTCAACAGGTGGGCGACACTCGAGCACAGTCCAAGTATCTTAGTGGCAACTGGCAAGCCACACTTCTTTCCAGGCTCAGCCACAGTCAACCTCCAGCTGTTACCGAGAAAGGAAAGATTAGGGGCAATTTCAACTGAACACATTGCCTGAACCTTTCTGACAAAGCCGCAAGTGAAGCTCCTGTAGGCAACATCACTATTCGTCCCAATACCTCAGTAACATTGAAACCTCAACACAATTCACGCCCCTTACACAATAAGGGTGTGCTGGTTTTCTCCTTTCCACAGACGTCGCCGTCAAAAATGCGTTTCCTTGCGCCGATTGTGGGACTATTGTCCCTGGCTTCCACGCTCGTCCCGACCGTGCTTGCCGACGCCAAACCCTTAAAGTTCACTGCGCTCACGGCCGGTTCGAAGTTGAAGGGTATCGTGAAGCTTAATGACACTCTCTACACAGAACTAACCGCCGCTCCCCGGAATTATTCTGCGGTAGTGTTGCTCACGGCATTGGACCAGAGGTTTAACTGTCTACTATGTCAGGAGTTTCAACCGGAATATGAATTATTGGCGAAGAGTTGGATCGCGAGGCACAGGTCAAGTGATGGGTTGTTTTTCGGAGAGCTGGACTTTGCGAATGCTAAGGCCACTTTCCAGAAGGTTTGTTGGCTCAAGCGTGGTTATAGTGAATTGGGGCTTATGTTGAGCTTGTTTAGCTGCAATTGACGACCGCTCCCATCTTGTATTTGTTCCCCCCGACCATTGGAGATAATTTGGACGCCGCACATATCGAGACGCCATATCAGTTTGACTTCACTCAACAGTGATTACCCCTTTGTCTTGTTTTACTATTGATTGAGTGAGACTAACCCTGTATTAGTGGCGTCCCCGCCGAAGCAGTCGCCCACTTCATCAGCCAGCACAGCCCACATACCCCCCCGGTTACTCGTCCGTTCGACTATGTAAAGTTCGGCAGCGTGGCCGGCCTTCTATTGGTCGCTATTACGATCGCCAGCATCGCCTTCTCCATCATAAAGCCCATCATTTATAGCCGCAACCTCTGGGCCGCCATCTCCCTTATCGCTGTCCTCTTGTTCACTAGTGGACACATGTTCAACCACATCCGTCACGTCCCATACGTTGTTAACGACGGGCGTGGCGGTGTCTCCTATATTGCTTCCGGGTTTAGCAACCAATTCGGGTTGGAAACTCAGATTGTAGCCATTGTTTGTATGTTTGCCCATTTCTGCCCTTCACTCACCGTTTGGACCCTGGCTAATTGGTATAGATGCTATCTTGGCATTCGCTACCATTTCGTTAGCAATGAAGACCCCCCGTATCGAGGACCCCACCCGACAGAAGGCTGCGATCCTAATTTGGAATGCTGTCCTCTTGGTCGGGTTCAGCTTCCTCATGAGCCTCTTCAAGCAGAAGAACGGGAGTTACCCTTTCTTTTTGCCACCGTTATTTTAGAAAATCGAAGTGTATTTCTTGAAAGATAGATTGGTTGGATCGCAAAACCTGAGGAGGAAGTGAGAGTGAAGGAAGTGTATTTCTATCATGTCGGGTGTCTGGAAGCTGGAGGAACTAAAACAGGAAAGACTGAGGGGAAGGGTTGCCTCTCGCTTTAGTTATGGGTTTAAACAGAATGGGATGGGACGGGATGGGCGTGAAGCGTAATATCATCTTGAGGTTTATCAAAACAAAAGAGTCTCCACGGCTTGATCATGAGACTGAAGCGTTAACGCATGGCCTCTCACTCGCTTTCCAAAGTTTCCGTGGTTTGCCTCCTGGCTTAGCTTCACCCCCCCGACCTGATCAGAGAGCGAAGTCCGGGTAACGAATCACCATTTCTATTTCTCTACCGTCGCCGCCGCCTCCAACCACGCCAACAACAATCACAAACCTCACTATCCTATCATACTCCCCCTCACCAAACACCTCTCCTTATTCTGCCCTATCCATCTGCTACGGTTTCCCCTTTACCATCGAGATGCCATACTGTACATATTATTATGCTCACATTCCCACACTAATAAAAAACACATCACCCCCGAATTGATCTCCGTCCATCTATCTATCAATTGGCGCCAACCGCGTTCTACTTTGTATCTACCTTTGCTCACTCCATAAAGGGAGGGATTCACTCGGAACGCGGAGATCGACAATGATTTAGCCTGAACATCCTAATTACACCCGGTTTTCATTGCTGTTGAATTGGGGTTGGTGTTTTTGCCCACATTCTTGGTTGCGGTTCTGTTGTAGACTCACACCCCCCCCCCCGCATATTTTTTTTGGAGAAAGTCGGGCGTACCATACATCTGGGACCCCGGGCCGGTACCCTCGGCGACCACAAGTTGTCGGGCCAAATAGGAAATAAGATGCGTGGATCGTGGAGTATTCCTGAAAGCATGGGTATACTGGCTACTTGGAGTTACTGAAGAGATGGATAGATGCTCTGCGCTTAGCGATAGTCGAGGGAATACATCAAGGGTAAATTAAGACAGGATTTATGCTACAAAAATGCCTTTTGTTCATTCTGTGACCGAAGCTGTGCCCTCCCCGACCGTGAATTCTACTTATTCCTCCAATAGTTAGTGCTTTCGAATCATCCGGGCCTAGATAAAATGAGGTGACAAAAGTCGTCGTTGATGGCTGCCTTTCGCAGCATCAGAGCGCGACCAGCTATTGGGAAAGCAGGTCAATTCTTCACAAGGTAGTGATTTCAAGTATGGTATCATATCTTAAAACCTAGGTTTAAATTTCGAAGTGTATGGTGCAATATTACCTCAACTAAATTATGCCGGTGTGAAGTTGGCGATTCTCAAAATGGTATATTGTTATATGAGAGCCTATGATAGACAACTTGTAGACTATACGAATTCCCGGTGCTTAAGTCCCGTTTTTTGGAATCATGCTCACCAATCAACAAGAGCTGCCCACAGAAAGGATAGATTTGTTACAGAAATACAAATTTCAAAACCACTAGGTCTTTAGCAGTCTATTGACATATTTTTCGTTTTAATTGATTAGGAGGGTATGGTGCAAATCGCTATTTCCATGAGTCCGAACTCTGACCGTTTTGGTTTGTTTTGGCCAGTACTGTACAGTACTGTACTTGTGCTCACCAGCGATGACTTTTGTCCAAGAACTATAGATATAGTATGGCAGGTGTCGGTGTACAGTACTCGAGTACTCTCTCAATACTGCCCTGCGTCTCGCATACCACCACAACGTGATCTATATCGGAAAACAATTACGATAGCCTACCTCCCGGTTCGTTAGAACTCTCGTTCAATCCGGAGTCAACGCGACCAAAGTAGAGGTTGAGGATGAAACCGCGGAGAATAGTTGAACGTGTACAGTATTTAGCGCTCCTGTAGGAGTATGTACCCGGGTATTCATCGAGAGGCTGGTCGGGATCATGGGAGAAGAAACATCTCACAAGCGAGTAAGCCCTCGCCATCATGTACAGTACTGTACGGCGTTAGCTATGATAAGCCTCCACAAGTTGTTTGGTGATACGTGATGAGAATAACAGTGAGTAGACCTACAATACAACAACAGCAAAAAATAGGACCGAGAGGGCCTCAAGCCTCCTCCTCCCTCTGTTTCTGACATGGTACGGTAGTCGCTAATCTGTACTCGTCACAGCAATACTCGTATGGTGCCGGCAACTTAGAATCAACCCAGAGCGCCATCGTGAATGAGGATGACTAAGCAATCTTGGGTGCGAAATTTTTTGCTGGGACAAAGTACTAACGATTGTTCATAGAGAGAAGAGTTCATACAAAGATAGGGTGCAAGGAAAGCGACTAAAGAGGGGAGGAGGGTAGAAGGAGCAGGGTAATGGTGAAGGGGGAAAGAAATAGTGTGGAATGAGTAAGAGAATACAAATTGGATAGTAAATGATAAGAAAAGAAACATGAATTGTATATAAGAAGTAAGAAAAATATATGAAGCTGAAGTGGAAGGTTACTGCTCAGCTTCACGGGTTCAAAGTCAGCGGTGTGAGGTAAAAGTTTGAAATTCCTCACTCGCATATGGAATATTCTGACGGTAAGCATTTAGCCATCGCTGGCACCACTGAAAGAAGCCATCGATAGTCCTATTTGGTACATTGGCTAATGCTTCCAAAATGACTCGCCTGAGGGACTCTATGCTGTAGTCACATTGTGTCTGAGCATACCGCTTCGCATGACCCCAATAATACTCAATCCAGTTGAGTTCGCAATGAAACTTTGGGTAAAAGGCAACTAGGTATCCTTTTCTCTTGAGTTCTTCTTGAAGCTTTCCACGCTGAGCTTGAAAGTCTGGCTGTAATGAAAGCAATCTTCTTGCACAACAGTCTATAAAAATTGGTTAGAATATAGAAATGTAGTTAATGAGAAAGGGAATTCTGACTAGAGGTTTGACAAGCGGGTGAAAGCTCCTTGCAATCAGAGCACTTCTGTCGATGAAATGGCTCACAGAATTGACATAAAATGCATTTCGTGCAATCTCAACAGTTTTTCCATGAACTGCATGCTGAGCATTTCCATATACGAGTGCATATCCCTGTGCATAGAGTCTTTCTGCTAGCTAGATAGCACTCACATATTTTTCCAGCAATACATATTCTGCATTTCTTTCTTTGAGCACATGGTCCACATGATGGCTTTGTATACTCCAGTTTTAGATTATCCTCTCAGAGCTCTCTCTCTATTAAAACCTGTCGGATTCCCTTTGGCTCTCCAATCTCATTAACCATCAACTGTGATTGATTCTTGTCTCCATCCATATATCCAACTCTGAGTCCGAACTGCTTTCCCCCTCATTCTAGGTTCATACTCTAAACTTATAAAGCATCCTCGGCGAATGATGAGTGACTCGTTGCATTATCGAATAAAAATAAGGCTTGATATCCTGGGTAGGCGGCTTGAAATATAGGTAGAGCAATCTTATTCACAAGCTGTATGATTTCCTCTCCTCCCCAATAGCATTCTCTATTAGTACCAAATTCAAACTGTTTGGTAGCAAATTCTGAAATCTTTAAACTTGCTCTCTGCTCCAAAGTCAAGTTGGACGTGCTTAACCTGGATGCTGGAAGTAGAAAGTCTGATACCATGATGCCTTTCTCCTGTCCTTTTAAGAGCAGAATAGGCTTATTCTTTTCAAGCTATGCATATTGTCTCCTATCATGAGTATTAAATGTACTCTCATCATGGGCGACAAGAATAATATGCTTCGAATTTGGTGATCCAGGAAAGCATCCATTGGGATATTCTTGGTCTTGAATTGTACCATCAGAGTTGAATCTTACAAGATAAGAATCTAAGGTATCTAGCAGATCAAGAACGTTTTGACTTTCAATCAGAACATCTGAGCACTCATGACCGTCAAAGTAGACTCCCTTCCAGATTTGCTTCCAATTTAAGCTCAGTCTCTGCAACCATACTCTAGCTGTCCTTGCCTGAAAACATTTTCTTTCTCTAATGCTATCTTCATTTGCCCCATCCTGAATGCCAGTCTTATGCAACAGAGTTTCCACTACACCCTGGTTGCTATTGGAATTATCCTGCTCAGTATAGTTTCCAATCAATTGCTCTTACTTTTCTAAATAAGTTTGAATTGCTTGAGCTGGGCCTTGGCCAGAAACATCTATTTCCTATATTAGAATAAGATTCCTTTGATGTCATATAATAAATAGTAAAAAATAAAATAATAACACAACCTACCTGAACCTGCTTCTGCTATATACTCTTGTGCAGTAAGAACAATACTCTCATCATAGCGTAAAGTGCCAACAGTATGCCTTTCATGTACTCCCTGTTGACTTAGTTAAATTGTTCGCTTTTCCACCAATTCCCACTCCCATTTCATGATCTGTTTTGCTGCATACCTACTCTGGAAGTATCTTTTAGCAACATTTAATGCAATTATACTTCGCTTATCATCAGGGGATAGCTCTTGTGGCTACAAGAATGAATGTACTATATGATACCTCCTTAATGTTGCTGGGTTCACCTCTGCCTTGCCAAAGTACTTTGTTAATACTGTTTTATGTTCTAACATATGATGTAAATCTCGTATCCCCTTCTCCCACTTGTAACGTGTTCGCAAGGTGCTAATCACGTTATCGGTAATAGATATGATAGTTGGCAGGTGGCCTGCTCTTCCAGAGAGGAGGTGAGAGCTGAGAACTAAAGGATGCTTTGAGAGTGTACTAAGGAACAAAGAAGTAACCGTTTAACCAAGAATATTGAAATACTGTCTATCGAAGTCTGCCTTTTCCATCGTGGAATCAGACGGTCTGTAAATACACAAATCTTGTCCATGTCTAGCATGAATGAAGCTAATCAAAGATATCAAGTGATATTCTTCGGTAAAATAAACCAAGTATCAAAGTGTTAGGCAGAGACAACTTGATAGACTTCAAGGTTGTCTAGGCTATTCGAGATTCGTTTTTGTAGAGGGAGATTGTCTAGGAAGGCTTGGACTTTACTCGTTTCTTTTATGACTACTAGGAGCGAAGTAAAATAGGTAAAGTAGGGTAGAATCGTAAAAACAATATTATATTGTTAAGGTCTCTTCTCCATTGCTTGATGATGTCTAAAGCTTGGGAGGCACTTCAATATTTATATTCCGCGTCTGAGTGTTCGCGGACTACATCTATTTATCATACAACTATGTACTTCTTCAATCGTAATTCGTGACGTCGAGTTTT